TCCTCCCTGGCTGTCAGTGTCTTCACTGAGTCGAACAGTCTGGATAGAGCCTCAGTCTGGGCAGCTGTGGGTGGCTGGGCCTCCGTTTGGGCAGCTGAGGGTGGCACAGCTGGGTTCTGGGGGTCCTGGGTGCCAGGCTGACTCAGCCGCTCCTTGCCTTGGGCTGGTGCACGCTGCTGCTGGAGGAAACTGTCCACGGCTGCCTTGTAGGCCCCCTTGGTCCCCGAGGGCTCCTGGGCAAAGCAGCGAAGCACGGATGGTGGCAAGCTGAACACCTTGCAAAGTGGGGAAGGGTGGAAGAGACTGTATGAGGTCCAGGCCCAGCTCTGTACACACTGTGGAACAGGCCCAGGCAAGAGGCCCATAGCCACGCCCCAGCCAGCAGGCGTGCACCCATCATGGACATCCTCCAGGGGCCTTTCTCCCGGGCAACCCACCCACCTCTTCTAAAGCAACAATGTGCCAGGGAAAGCCAACTGTCTGCAGGATTAGCTTCATCTCAGCCAGGATTTTGGCTCTGTCCTCCAGGCTCTGTCCACAGGCTGCTCCCTCTGAAACAGGCAGGCAGAGTGGAGTCGAGGCTCACAGGAGAAGAGCCCGGCTGGCAGGACAAGGCCAACACGTGAGAAGCCCCTCGAGGCTGTGTGCTGCAGCACAGAGGTTTCTGAAGAGACCACAGGTTGCAGACCTTCTCCTTGGAGGAAAATTTTCAGAATGGGTGTAGGGGTGTAGCCACTTGGCAGTGGCTGAGGGGCCGGGAGGGGAGGGGTAGGGCAGGTTAGCATCAGGCCCTCAGGCAGTGAACTTGCCTGTCTCATTCATAGCCCTAGACCCCACAGAAGAGGCCAGGTGGACACTCCTGCCTGACTCTCTGGTGGTCTGACTTATGGCAAGTGCCACCTGCTGCTGGATGTGTGCACTGTCTCCAAAGAAATGCCCCCACCAGGGCCTCGGCCTGGGCACAGTCTGACTGTTTCAGAAGGCCCGCCCAAAGCAGCTGGGGCCTGGAGGGAGGAATGACCACACGTACCATCGACGTAGATGACCCCTGGCACAAAACGCAGTCTTTTGGCAGAATCTCGACTCAGGCCCTGGAGAAGGGAAGGCACTGGGCCTCAGCCCCACAGCCAGAAGCCACAGGACAATTTCCTACAGAGACCCTTCTCTGTCTGGACTGGGCACCTGCTGAAAAGGGGCAATGACGCCCACCTATAGTAGGCAGGTGGCACAGGGAAGCCATGCAGCCCAACTCACTTCGAACTGGCCCTGCCTGGGCATCTGTACTCTCCCTTGTAAAACCCACCCTCCCCAGTCTGTCCCTGATGCTGGCAATGGCCTAAAAAGCAGCTGGGTCCACGTAACTACCCAAGCCCCTCCGGCTGCTCAGCACAGGCCAGGACAACGGGATAAAAACATGGAATTGCTACTCAGATGGAAGAGCAGTGCTAGGTGCTGGACAAACACCTGGGGGAGGAGGTGCTTGTCTCATGTCTCCTGGCCAGGTTTAGGGGACAGGAAATGAGAGCAGAAACACCACCCTAGGGCCCTGGGCACCTCCCAGGCCCCAGTACAGACCACCCCATGGCTGCAGCCTCATGCCCAGTACCTCCAGTCTGCACCTGTACAGGGAGTGCAAAAGGTCCTTGTGTGTCCCACCCCTGGGTGGAGGCCTCCACAATGCCCCATCACCATCGGGGAAGCCGTAACTGTCCCTGACACTGTGATCTGGGCAGGCTGGCACTCCGATGCAAAGGCCCCCTGCTGTCTCTCATCTGTACCCACCTTCTCCCCTCCCCTCTTGACATGAACTGTCCTCTCCGGCAACACTGCTTCCTTTACCTGGCAACAGCCCTTGTCATGCCTTTCATTCTCAGGGAAGCTGCCAGAGCCAAAACACTTTTTGTCTCCCAAGGCACCTGCTCCTATTTCAATGTCTTGTCCCAGACCACTCCCAGGCTGAGGGGAGGCCCATGGCTTCAGAGCTACCTTGAGCGACACTCCACTGTGCCCCCTGAGACATCCATTTCCCAGTGACTACTTTTCTGCAGTAGAGCAAATGGAAGAGCGCTAAACTGGGGCACAGCTGGGCACCCTGGATGCAGCTCCGAGCTTGTGCACCTCTTGTATACACATCCGAGAACCCTCCAGGGCTGGCTCCACCCTCAAGCTCAGCTCGGTGGGTGGTGGCCTGGGCCCAGAAGAATGGTGTGGAGACGCACCTCAAGGACCTGCCAGACCATGGAGCTGGACGAAGGCCCCCCGGACCAGGCCAGGAGCACCTGGGAGAGAAGGAACATGGCTGGAGGATACCACATCTCAACATGAGCATGCTCGCCCACCCCCACCACTGTGGGTGTCCCCAGACATGGGTCCATCCTCAGAGTCCAGGTATAGGATGGCAGGGAGGAGGTGGTAGGATGCAGATGGGACAGGCTGCCTGCAAAAAGAGTGGCAGGGGCATAGAGCCAGGGCCCAGGTGGCCAGGCTGCCTAGTCAGGGACTCCACAGAGGAGTCACCTCACACTCTACCTTCTCTCCCGGAAAGATCAGCCGGTTCTTCCCAAGCACAGCTCTGAATTTGTGGACGTAGAATGCCTTGAAACAGCCCCTGCAACAAAATCACCATTGGCTGTAGCCACACGGCTCAGGCTGCCCACCGTCATGCCAAGATAGGGAAGCTGCTTACATTGGCCTCCACAGGGCAATAGCCCAATGGAGCTGCCCTGAACGATGCTTGCTCAGTTACTTTTTCCTTCTTGTCCCAACTTCCATCTTTAAGAGCAACATCTTGACACTGAGGCTCTACCCAGCATGGAGGCCAGCATGGAGGGACTCTCATCAGGTATGGTCGTCCCAGGCTGAGTCTTACACCACATGGGAAGGCACCTGAGCCACCACCCACAAGCCTTACCAGTGTGAACCGATGTCTGAGGGGTCAGGAGCCCCATGCTGCCTGCAGCCACAGGCACTCAGAAAGGCCCAGCTGGTAAACAGATAGACACAGGCATGTGCAGGACAAGGCCACCCCAACCCTCTCCTAAGCAGAGTTGATGACCTCTTCTAAGACTCCCACAGAGAGAAGTACCACCTCTTGGAGTGAAGAGGGAAGCCCTGGGCAGGCTGCAGGGGCCCAGCATCCTGAATCGCCACAAAGGCCTTTCTCTAATTTTCTGATCCTACCACGACCAGAAATGCCCAGGAAGCTTCTGTAAAGGCAGAGTCCTGGGCTCTTCCCCAAATCCACAGATCAGAATTTCCAGTGTAGCCCTGGCTGGTATAGCTCAGTGGATTGAGTGCTGGCCTGTGAACCAAAGGGTCACCAGTTCAATTCCCACTCAGGGCTCATGCCTAGGTTATTGGCCAGATCCCCAGTAGGAGGAGTGCGAGAGGCAACTACACACTGATATTTCTCTCCCTCTTCCTCTCTCCCTTCCCCCTCTCTAAAAACGAATAAATTTAAAAAATAGCTATTGGTGAAAATAAAAGTGTGTCTTTTATTTTACAGAAAAAAACATATAAACTTTTTGGTCAACCCAACAAAACACATCAGGCAGAGCACCTGCCCAAGATCCTAGGGTGCTCCGAATTACCCCCAGACATGTTCTAGCTGCCCAGAAATGCTCATCCCGCCTACGACTCACTCTCACTGCCAACCCTCCTCGTAAGTCCACCACATACCTTTCTGCCACCTGATCCACAGTTGAATGATGGGAGAATGTTACCCACATAGGAAACCAATACTTCCCCCACCAACACCAGTCACCAAGAGCAATGTTAGAACCAGAATTAAAATGATTAAATGCTTCTAAAAGCAACAAATAAAGCCACAGAAATGGAAGCAATCCTGGCTGCTGAGCAAGACCGTTTGCCAGTGTCTCCTACCTATCTCCAGGCCTCACCTGCAGAAAGCATCTCCTGCTCGGATCACCACCACAGGCAGGCCTTCCTTGCACTTCACACACTTCTGCTCAGTGCTTTGGATACATGTGGGAGAAGACAGAACAGGAACAGATTAGCCCTTGCTGGTGAGCTCAGTGGGTTAGAGCATCGTCCTGATATGCAAAGATTGTGGGTTTCATCCCCAGTCAGGGCACATACAAGAATCAACCAATGAATGCATAAATGGGTGGAACAACAAATCGATGTTTCTCTCTCTCCCCCCTCCTTCTTCTTTCTCTCTAAAATCAGTAAGTTTTAAAAAATGTTTCAATACAGAACACAGATTTACACTCCCCCTCCCAACGGGCTTCAGAAAGAGAGTCCTGTTTCTCATCCCAGCCCTGTGTAGGAGAGAGGCAATGTAGGGGCCTGTACACACAAAAACCAGTGCTTGTGTCTTAACCAAAATACCGCTCTGACAAAAGACAATGGTTCTGGAGATTTCCAGTCGGCTAAAGCCAGCTCAGTGGGAACATAAAGGTCACGTCTCAATCCCTTCAGGGCTGGCACGACAGGGGAGACAACTTGCTCTGTGTGGCTCTGGACCGGAGATACGGAGCCACTGAGTGACAACGATTGGGAAGCCCACTTCCTCTTCAGTAAGAGAGAATGGTCAGAGGCAGAGCTGTCCCAATGACTGCAAGAATTTGAGGTGCGAGCGAGTAGGAGGAGCCCCTTCCTGCCAGTGTTCATCACGGGCTTCACAGGCACTCCCCGGGTGCTGCGGAGCGAGGGCCAGCCCCCACCCTGGACCCCCGGGCTCCTGGGCTTGGCCTTGGCGGTATCTGGGTTTTCTGGAGTGCAGGGCCCGAGACTGAGGGCAAAGCGCGACGGCGTCCTCAGGGCAGGACTCGCTGCCGGCTGAAGACGTCGGGTACCGGAGAAATGGGTGTGTCGCCCAGCTCTTACCCAGACCGCGGCGGCAGCTGTCCCTCAGCCGGGGGCTCCGGGTACTCCTCACCCACCTGGCACATGGTTGTACCAGATTGAGAGGCAGACTGCGGCGCGCGCAGTCTGATGACGTCACCGCAGCGCGCCGTCGCAGCCTCGATTGTCACACGTCAGCGCGGCGCCGTCGCGGCCCTGACGCGCGGGCCGGGCCGGCCCGGGCCTGCCGGGACAGCGGTGGCGGCAGCGGGCCTGGCCCGGGGATGGCGATGTTCCGCAGCCTGGTGGCCTCGGCTCAGCAGCGACAGCCGCCGAGCGGGCCCGCAGGCGGTGACAGCGGCCTGGAGGCTCAGTACAGCTGCCCTATCTGCCTAGAAGTCTACCACCGGCCCGTGGCCATCGGCAGCTGTGGCCACACGTGAGTGCTCCGGGCGACCGCGGGGCCGCCGCTCCGCTGCGGGGAGGGGTCTGCGCCTGGCTGAGAGGGGCCCGAGGCCCACGGCTGCCGGGCAAAGCCGGAGAGCCCCGCGCGCGGAGGACTCGGGGGCGGAGGCACAAGGCTCCCTACGCAGCGCCGGCTCTGTGCTGCCGGCTCGTGCATCTGCCTTAGCCCAGGCTCCTCCAGTCCCGGGCACTCGACCCCACCACCCCATCGGCACACAGAGGCGACCGAAACTTTGTCCAGTTCGGAGTCCCCGCGCCCTCTGGGCTGCTGACGGCCTCGGTGGTCCTCTCTAAGTACCCAGGGGGCAGCAGGCGCGACCTCTGCGCCAGTCGCCTTGGATTCGGTCCCGTGGAGACGAGTGGGCAGTTGTAAATAAATTTCTGCGATTTTTGCTGTCAACTCTTTTTCGGACCTGTTGTCTGTTGTTTAGACTGCTGAGGAGAGGAGTTCCCTAAAGTTAGGAGAGGGGCTTGTTTGGAGTCTGATGCTGTTTTGTTTTGATGCAGAACTTGGGTCATGTCGATAAGTGAGCAGCCAGGCAGCCTGGCCCTCAGGGGACCAGTCGCTAAGCACATTACTACGGTTTCCAGCTGCACCAGGGCACACAGCAGGCTTCTGCGGTTGGTTTCAGGAACAGAAACCTGAGGATGTGGCTTACCTCCCAGGGGAGAGCTGCACTCAAGTCTGATCGTCAGCATGTTTGGGAGGGAGCTGAGATCAGAGTATCCACTGAAATCAGCAAGATGGGGAGAGGGGGCTAGAGGACTTGGCTGCCAGTGGAGCTGCTGAGCAGTTAGGGCTTTCACTCTAAGGGACTGAGCTGAGGTGCACCCAGGCTGATAGTAGGTCCTAGAACATTTTGCAAACAAGCTGTCTTGGGAGGCTCTTGATACAAAGTGGTAGCTGGAATTGCTGGGTGGGTTTGTGACTGTTCCTCACTCAGAGAAGTGGCAGAGATAGTGTCAGGTTCCAGGAAGTCTTCACTTCCTGTCCCACGCCTCCAGGCCAGGCAGCACAGGAGAGCCCTGCAGGCTTGTCTTGAAGAGCACTGCACCTCACTTTTTCATGCTTCTTGTGACATTTTGACTGGGGCAGCCTCCGAACAGGACTTGTTTCTTGTAAGCACATACCAGTAGGTGTTTTAAGGTGTGTTCTCAGTCCATTGTTGAGAGAGCTGTAAGGCTTCTAATTTTAGAAGGTCTTCCCTAGGCCTGGGGTGGTGTCCCCTTGGCACCAGTGCTCACCCAGCTCTGGGTGTTTCCAGTCTCCTGGTCTGCACAAATTTGTATTTTCCATGCATGTCTTTTCTTAAAATGTGGTTTCCAGAATACAGAACTACACAGAGTTGTGAAACATCTTATAAACACCCCTCCCCCATACTTCCTCCCCCCCATAATCTGACCCTTCTCCTCTTTGTGAGGCTTGTCCTACAAGAGCCTTTTCTACAACTTTTGCCTTAAGAAAAGACGTACTGCTCCCTGGCTCTCCCTGCTATCTTGTTTTCCTGGCTATTCTGTTTCTACTTCTTACTTCCTCTAAGTTTCTTCCCCAGTGTTGTGACTACAGAGGAGCAAAGAAGATTTAAAGGCTCTGCCTTTGCTTTTGAAAACCTTGCTGGTGGTTTGGTTATTTCCCCTCATGGCTACCTGACTAAGCAACTTCCTTCCACAGCATATTTTCTAGTGATGAGAGCAGCTCTTTATGGAACAGATAGTTAGCACCAGGCAGAAGGAGGGTTTACAGGGCTTTCGAGCAGGACCCCCCTCAGAGGAGCTTGTGGAAGAGCTCCCAGGAACTTTGCAGGGGCCCCAGAGGAAGCCAGTTTTTGTCACACTCAAGGGACATTCTGGCACTGAGCCACATCCGGAAACAGAAACTGCTTGGCTGTTTCTAACTATCTCATGGACCCTCCCCCAGGGCCTGTGTGTGTTTGGGGCAGGGTTCAGCCCAGGCTGCCTCTGGCTTCTATGTCTCTTCTGTCATCACCTCTATTCAGTGCTGTCACACCTGTCCGTGCATCTAAGTGTCCTCACGTACAATTTGTTAATGAACAAGAGATCATAGAACAGAGCTCATGTATAAGGGGAATTGTAAGGAACGATAATAATAGATGTCTTCCGATTATTCCCTGCATGCCACAGCCCTGTGAGGCAGGTACTGTCCTTATTCCTTAGTACAAGGAGAATGAGACAGAGAGGCTCAGTAAAGTTCCCAAAGTGTCACAGCAAAGCCAGGATCTGAGCTTGAGCAGCCAGGCCCACCCTACCTCTTAGCCACTCTCCCCCCACCACCTTCAGCGGCCCCTCCCCCTGCAGTTTTGTAGTAGTGACTATAGACCTTGGGGACCAATGAGCCTTTACAGCCCTCTGCCCAGCTGCACCCAAGTCCATGAGCTGGCTTCTCTGGGTGGGGTTCCAGAGGCCTCAGGAGCTTCTGTCATTCCCTGCTTAGCTGCCCAAGAGCACTGGCCTCAGACCCATGGAGGTCTGGGCCCACAGGTGGCTCACCTGGATCTGTGTGTGGGTGAGCCCAGCCAGGTGGGTCAGGGCATGAGCCAGAGTGTAACTGAGGACAAAAGGCTTCGGAAGTCAGCCTCCTGGCTCAGGACAGCTCCAGGACCCTGGGGCCCAGCCTGCTTGCCTTCCTGCGTCTCTGAAACATTGGCCTGTGCTGGTGCACCTGAGTGTTGCCGCTGCAGCCTGGAGTCCGTGCAGTGGCCGTCATGCTGTCACAGCTGCGCCTGTGGACCTGAATGAGAGAACAGACCCCTCAGCTGCCTCCTTCAGCTGGGAAGCTGCCCAGCACCAGCCCCTTGGGCAGATGTGGGCAGGAACCATCTGTGGGAGAGGTGGGCACTCTTCGTCTGCACGGCTCTCAGCGCACCATGGTGACGGTGCTGGAAACTGGTCTGTGAGCTAAGCTACTGTGTGGACACCTGGTTCTGCCTCTAGCTCCGTAGGGACTGGGGCATGGAAACAAGCAGTGCCGTAGGGCTGGCAGGTGAGTCCAGGGTCATGCAGGGAACCGTGTATGCCTTCTTGATACAGGTCCCAAAGTTCCCCAGCCTACTGCTGGAGGACAGTGGGGCACCCTTCACCCCAGCCTTATCCCTTGTCTCTTGTGTCTCTTGTCGGAGACCTGCTCCTCTGGAGGCCTGCACCGGGCCCTGCATTTTCCTGATGATGTGGTAACAGCTCGTCCCTGCATGTGGTCCTGTGTCCTTCCTTTCTGCACATGTTTTTACAGCTTTATTGAAATACAGTTGCCTTATTTAAAGCATGTAAGGGTTCACAGTATATCCACAGCACTGAGTAACATTACCGCAGTCAGTATGTTCTGAACACCCCACAAAGAAACCTTGTCCCCACTGGCAGTCAGACTCTGTACTCCAACCCCACACCCATTAACCAGCTTTCCGTCTCTGTGTGTTTGCCTGTTCTGGACAGTTCACGTAAATGGAACCATACTCTGTGATCCTTTGCAATCAGCTTCTTTGATTGAGCGTGACTTTTCCAAGGTCCCCCCACAGTCGCACCTGTCAGCCCACACTCTCCCTTATGGCTAAGCTGTCTATCAGAGATAGACCATGATCTGCATGTCCGACACCTGTCGATGGACACAGGGTTGCTTCTGCCTGGCTATTGGGACTGGTGCTGGGTGAGCACTCGTGTGGGCTTTTTTCGGCTTCCCCATTGTAACCATCTTGCCAGCACTTTCCTCCAGAGACTGGGCGAAGGAAGAGTCTTCTTCCCCCAGCTGTTAGGCTAAGCATATGCTGAGACTGGCGAGAGGGGCAACCCTAGAGTCCTTACTGGAGCACCGGGGTGGGTGCGTGGTGTCCCCTTTGCATGCCTGCCGTAATGCCTGGTGAGCCCTTTTCTGGGTGCAGGATGTGGCAGGTGGGCCCACCTCCTTACTCTGCAAGACAAAGCCTAGCTGGTCCTTCTCTCATGTGCAGACATTAACATGAGAGGTGACCAGCCAGGTGGTGGCAGCACCAGGGGCCAATGTGTAGGAGGAGAGCCTTGGGTTGGGCAGCATGAGGGACTCTGGATCCCCTTGCCTGGGTTTGTGTTTTGTTTTTTGTTTTGTTTTTTGGGGAAGGAGGTGAAAGTATTATGGCAAAAGGGACCCTGACCCCTTAGCTTAGCTGCATTCTCTGGACACTCAGGAATGTTCTCACGCCCCTGTGTCCTGTACAGCTCATGTCCCCACCATGGCCCAGCCTGCTTGACATACCCAGGTGGGAGGAGAGGGGTGCGCACCCTGCAGGTTTCCTGCAGTTTGCAGAGCTGCCACCTTTCTCATGCATCTGGGCCCGGCCCCGGTGATGGGACTGAGCGCGTGTTTTTCTGGGGCTGTGGAGGTTCCAGGTACCTGTCTCAGCTAAGTAGTCCCCACAGCACTTTCTAAAGCTCGACCGATGCGGTCCTGCAGTCAAGCGCCTTCTTCCTCTCACCCCCTCTGACCAGCTCTGCTCCCTAATGAGCAGCCTGCTCCTTTGCAGTGTGGAGGGTGGTTGTGAATTCCAGCTGAGGGCCCATGGGCAGGAGGGCTCAGTGCACTTGCAGCACACACGGGATGGGACATCTCCAGGGACGGTGCTGAGAGCTCAGTGCCACAAGAAGCCTCAAGTGCCCAAGTGCATGCCCAGGGCCAGGAGTATCACCACTGAACAGTCAGGGCTCGAGCACAGTCCCTCCTGTCCCTGTCCTCCATTCAGGCCTGTCAGGAGCCCTTCCTGCCTGAGGAGGGGGCACTGTTCCAAGGATGCTGATGCTCACCTGCCAGCTTTGGCCCTGCCCCATCCAGTGAGTCCTGGGTCCCTGCAGTTTCCTCTTTCACCATTGTTAGTGATTTTACTCCCCAGAGCTTAGTGGGTGGAGGGTCTCCAGGATCCTCTGTACTGTCCCTTAGTCCTCTGAGTCCCCTGAGGTGTAAGTACCACGTGGCGGTGAGACAGGCAGGCTGAGCCTGGCCTCCTACAGCCAGAGCTCTTGCTGAGAACAGGGCCCTGGGGCCAGCACAGGTCCTAGAGAGCCACGGCTGCAGCTCTGCCCGGTTCCAGGATGCGGCGGAGGGTCCTGAGAACCCATGGCTAGCAGGGGACCTGGGCTCATTGTTTAGCCAGATGGTGCCCATCCAACCAGTGGGACTCAGGCTCAGGAGCGACTGTCTCCAGAAACTCCCAGTAGACAGCAGAGGTGAGTTGCTGTGCGTGGGCTGGAGCAGGCTGGCCTGTGACCTCAGGCCCATGTCCCCTTCCCCACTGCAGGTTCTGCGGGGAGTGCCTCCAGCCATGCCTGCAGGTACCATCTCCCCTTTGTCCGCTGTGCCGCCTGCCCTTCGACCCCAAGAAGGTGGACAAGGCTGCCCAGGTGGAGAAGCAGCTCTCGTCCTATAAGGCACCCTGCCGGGGCTGCAACAAGAAGGTACCCCACCCCAAAGGGCCTCCTGGGTCCAGGAGGCGGCTTTTTAAAAAAGATTGTATTTATTTTTAGAGAGCAGGGCAGGGAGGGAGAGAGAGATGGAGAGAAACACTGATTGGTTACCCCTCATGCACACCCCGACCAGGGACTGGGCCCCCAGATCTACATGTGCCCTGACAGGAATCGAACCAGGGACCTTCCACTTTGCAAGACAACACTCAGCCAACTGAGCCACACCAGTCGTGGTCAGAAGAGGATTTTGAGTGCTTGGGGCCCTGGTTCTGCCCTCCAGCCGAGGAGCTGGGCTCTTCCCTTTCCTGTTGAGGACCCTGCAGCTCTGCTCGGTCGCTCCCACAAAGCACGAGGCATTTCTAGATGGCCCTGCCTCTTGCCCCACGTTGCACCCCCTACATCCCACTCCACTGCCTGGCCTGGGCTCTGAGTTGTTTGTGTGCACTGTAGCCAGTACAGGGAGACAGGCGGAGCTGAAACCCACCCCAGTCTTGATGCTCCAGGAATCCGCTGCCCACTGCAGGCATGGACGTAGGGGAGAGGAGGGCAGCTGGGGCCATGGGCTGAATGGAGCGAATCACTCTGTGGCCTCTGTTGCCCACCCGGCCTCAGGCGTGCTGCCCCGGAGCCCACCCCACCCTGTCCTTGCACCCCACTGTTCCTCCGGGCCTGGGAGGCCCTCCCTCCTGGTGGGCGGAGCAGGAACTGAGTTTGAATTTACATTTTGAGACTTAGCCATCTCTCCGGTTAATAAGTTCTACTAATTTAGCACAATGGAAAACAGCCCTTGATTGCTGTGCCCTAAAGGTCAAAGGTGTGAACTTCCGGGACTGCCCTGAGGATCTCTCGGAGATATCTGGGCAGGGCTACTGGGGCTTCCTTCAAGCTGACATAGCCCCTTCCCTGCTTCTCTCCTTGATCTTCCTGTAGTTTCACATGTGAAGTGGCCCTGCCCGTCACTCCATGCCCCTCCCCCCGCCCCATCCCCAGCCCTGGACAGAGCTGGTATTGGAAGGCTGCTCTGTCATCCCAGACACTGGGTCCGGCCTCAGCCCTGGGGACTGTGCCCTGCACTCACGGAGGCAGCTGTGTCCCTGGCTGCTTCCTCAGTTCTGTAAACTGCTTTCCTATTTGTGAAATGTTTACCTTCCAGCCTTGGCAGAGGCAACATGGCAGGAAGGTGGTGTCCACACCTCAGGGGAGGGTTGAGCAAGGGTCTTTGTCAGCTCTCACCTTCCCCCCACTCTGGTCTGAACTGGGACTCCTCCTTCCACCCCCACTGCCCACTAGAGTTTGTGACTCAGGCAGTTGAGGAGAAGGTTGTGCTGTGTTTGGTTTGGTACCTTTTGGTAAGGAGTTTTGTCCAATGTTCAGTGGTCTAAAAGAATTTGACTCGTTGGTTCCTGTTACAAGGGAAAGGGACATTTTTCCTGAATGACCATCCCTTCCTGTTCCCCGAGGGACTGTCTCTGCCCTCAGCCCCCCGGGGGCCCCAGCTGGGGTGTTCTCCCATTCAGGGGCTGATGACTGATGCCAGCCCCCTGCGCAGTCCCAGCTGAAGCAGGCAGCACCCGCCGCTGGGTCACAAGTCCATCTCCTTCCCTCAGCACCTCTCTCCAGCAGAGACGCTGCACCCCTGAGAGAAGCCCCAGAATCTGCTCACGGAGCCGCTGGGCTGTGAGCGGCAGGAGCAGGACCTGCTTGCTGACTGTTCTCTGGTCCGAGCCTGAGGCTTTTCCTGCCCCTTACCCCCGATGGCCTGACACCTGCCTTGCCTCCATAGGTGACACTGGCCAAGATGAGGGTGCACGTTTCCTCCTGCATGAAGGTCCAGGAGCAGATGGCCAACTGTCCCAAGTTTGTCCCTGTGGTGCCCACATCCCAGCCTATTCCCAGGTAGGCTTCCCTGCCAGGGGCCCTCAGAGTCCCTGTTCTTTGTTGGAGCGGCTCGTGGTCTGCGTCACTGTGTGGGGTCAGCACTGCTCCGCCCTGAGGAAGTGGGGGGCTCTGGACTTCCTCTGGGGGAACCTCACTACCCTGCAGGAAGGGGAACACCAGAGGTTCCATGCCAGGCTCATGCATCACCTCCCAGCAGGGGGTTGCTGACCCCAGAAAAGCTGGGTCTGGATAGACGCCACCTCTCAGGGCAGGCAGCCTGTCCTCACCCTGCTTTCCCAGCCACGTTCGGGGAGGAGAGGCACTGGGAGTGTATGAGGTGGCAAGCGGCTCCAGAGAAGTTGCAGTGGGGCATGCAGGGGAGCAGGGCAGAGGGTCCCATGACGGCCAAGGAGGAGCAGTGGGGTGTAAGGACAGTGATGGGGTGGTTTCCGGGGCAGGATGCCTAAGGCAGGCCGGGGTGGGGGGCAGAGGCCAGAGAGCAGCGCGTTCCATTCAGCCCATGGCCCCCCTCTCCCCGTTGGCTGGGCCTTTTTCCTGCCCTCCGCCCAGGGGAGAGCAGGGCACGCCTGTGTTGGGGCAAGTGGGGCCAGGCTTCAAGAAGGTTGGCAGTGCCCAGGAAGGCCACTGCTTACCCCTCTGCTTCCTGTCTCAGCGCCGTCCCCAACAGGTCTACCTTTACCTGCCCTTACTGCGGCGCCCGCAACCTGGACCAGCAGGAGCTGGTGAAGCACTGTGTGGACAACCATCGCAGCGACCCCAACCGTGTGGTGAGCACCTGCTGCCCACCTGCCTGGGCGCCTGAGCCCCACTGTCTACCCACAGTGCCTTCCTGGGATCCCAGGGTGGGGGCCTCTCCACTCTGGCTCAGCTTCACCTCAGCACCCCTCTTTTAGGTGTGTCCCATCTGCTCAGCGATGCCCTGGGGTGACCCCAGCTACAAGAGTGCCAACTTCTTGCAGCACCTGCTCCACCGGCACAAGTTCTCTTACGACACCTTCGTGGTATGTGTCTTGCCTCTTTCTCCCCAGCCCTTAACCAGCCTTAGGCCCACAATTCAAAGGGAGCTGAGCACACAGAGGCCCCCTGGGTTTCTGTGGGAGCCGCCAGCAGGCCTGGCGCTCGTGGCAGTCAAGCCCTGGGGCCTCAGGGACTCCGGAGCTGCACAGAGCAGTTCGAGGGGGCCCTTTGGCTTTTTGAGGTCTCTCACCACAGTTCTCTTCACATTGGGGAAGTGGGGGAGCTTCTCTGGGAGAGGCAGCCACAGGTCTGGTGGCCGTCACAGGGCACCATCTCCTCAGCCCTGCCAGCACAGAGAGCCCCATGGAGGCTGACAGGCTGGCTTTGGGTGCTTGTCAGAGAGAAGCCAGAGGGAGTTTACCACCTGGAAAACCTCAGCTCGTTCTCCCTCTCCCCCCTGCTTGGGCTAGAACCATGCAGGCTCTTCCTCCTGCTCAGCCCTACCCCACCCACCCCTGTCATCCTGGCCCTGCTAGCCGCAGGTACCTGACCTGTGCGGGGCAATCACCTGTGCTCTTATTTGCCTCTGGGCTCCCAATGGCTAGAGGCATGCAGCCCTCTGGCTTCTCTGCTCATCTCAAAACCCCAGTTTTCACATCCAAGGCAAAAAGACAGCTTTTTCCAAGTGTTTGCCCCTCCCACAGGTTCGCTGGGGCAAGGTGTCTGCTGGACAAGGTGTCACTTGGGCAGCTGCAGGGACCCTGTACAGCCCTCAGGGTTGAGAACGTGGGAGAAGCCAGATACCAATCCCACACGTGGGCAGCACTTCAACCTCCAGCAGAGTTTTCGCTCCATGACAGTGATGATCCTGTGACCCCATATGACTATGCAGGGCCTCGTTCTTGTCCTGGGTCATACTGAAAGGAGGTGGGGAGACAGGAATTGGTACTGCTGGTCACTTTGGGGTGACTGGACAGAGGAAGTGGTTCTGAGAGGTCACTAGCACAGCCGGCCCTCTTGCCTGAGCCCATGAGCCCCCACCCCATCTCCACTTCCTGTCTTCCAGGACTACAGCATCGACGAGGAAGCCGCCTTCCAGGCTGCCTTGGCACTGTCTCTCTCCGAGAACTGAAGGTGCAGCCCAGCTGCCAGGACCCACCCCTCCAGCCTCGAGGGACAGGGCTGTGCTTGCTCTCTGGCCCAGCATCTGCACTGGAATGCACCTTTTGGGCCAGGTGGGGCCTCCATCATCTCAGAAGGAGAGGTGGTCCTCAAGATTGCCAGGGCCCAGAAGAGACCACTGTTCCCTCGCCATCAGAAGATGGCCGCCTGTGCTCCTGGCCAAGCATGGCTGATTTCTTCGGTGCTTCGGGCCAAGCAGGCGGCCCTCTCAGGGTCGGCCCTTCGGGACTGAGAGCAGTCAGCTGCCTGTCTCTCTCAAAGCCATGATGTCCTCCCCGTGCGGAGGGGGAGCCCCAGCGACACCCGGCTGGCCGCCGGCGTCTGGCAACACTTCCCCTGTGTACCCGGTACTGGCTTTGTGATACCTAGAAACTCCAGCATTTTTCTATATATTCCAGTGTGATAGCCTTTTCACATTTTATAGAGCAAAGACAAAGCAGTTACTCTTCATATTGCAATATCTGTGTTTGACTAGGAACAATAGTATTTTTATGGAACATTTACAAAATTATATTTTTAAAAAAAAATTGAAAACAGTTGAGGGATCAGGATAGGGAGGGAAGGAAAGGTGGGGCAGATGCTGGGGCCAGGACGAACCACGAGTTTCGCTTATGCGCACAGGATGGAGGGGCCACATCCTGGGTTATCTCCGTGTTTTCCAGGGTTCCTGTGGTTGGTTTCATCATTTCCCTTTGATAACAACCTGGGAGAAATCCCAGCACCTTGGCCACTTCTGTGGCTGCTGGGCAGTGTGGGCCTCCTACCTGGGGTCTCAGCTTCAGCCAGCACCTTTCTGAAGCTAGCCACACTGCCACCCCCAGCGGTGGTAGACCTTGGGGCGGCCTGTGCAATAGTGGGCTGGACTGGAAAATGCTTGTCTTATTTGGTTCGTGGCATAAATTATTGCTGTGTTTTTAAAAAATTTAAATAAAATGTTTCAAAGCATTTATAGCAGCCTGGTGGGTTTCATTCTGTGAATATAAAAAGCAGAGGACCAGCCCTGACCTCTGTGGTGCAGTTGCTTGGGTGTCATCCCACGAACCGAACGGTCGCCAGTTTGATTCCCGGTCAGGGCGCACGCCTGGGTTGTGAGTTCGCTCCCTCATCAGGGTGCTTATGAAAAGCAGTGGATCGATTTCTCTGCCTCATCAATGCTTCTCTTCCTCTCCTTCTTCCCTTCCCCTCTCTCTAAAAATAAGTACAATCTTTTAAAAATCGGAGGGCTGGTGTGGAATCACCATAGCCTTCCTTTGCAAATGTGTTTGTGTCCCCAGACAGCTCCAGCTCAGAGTGAAGCTGGCTCCAGGGCCACCATGAACACTCAGGCCAGGAGGAGCACCGTGGGTCAGCGCCCTGCCCACCACTCCTAGACCCTGTCGGCCTCAACCACTAGCGGTCACTGGCAAAACCAGGTCTTCCTGTGAGCACAGTGCTTCCTCAGGGCACTGGGGGTTTCTCGGCCTGCATCCCTCCTACCCTGACCTATTTTTACCTGTCAGAGCAAGTTCTTGAACTGCGTCTGGTTCCTTGTGACAAACCCAGGCAAAGGTTTGCTGGGTATTGGTGGCTTTCACCTCCTTGGTCCTAGGATGGGGTTCACTGAGGCCACCAGGCTGACAGGGCACCTACCCAGGCTCCCTGGCCAAGCCTGGTCAGAATGGAGCCAGTTCTGGGGCCCAGAGTAGGCCATGGTGGTGTTCAGGATGCCCTTGGGTGAAGCCCCAAAGTCCTGCAGTCCTCTTCTGGTGGCTACTCTCCTTGCTACTGGCTCTTGGCACTCTGCAGCCAACCCCATAGCCTGCCTGGTGCCCCCAAATGTGACCCTGGCCCCTGAGCCTCACTCAGTCACTAGAGGATCATGAAGAGCCATTTAGACATTGGCACCCTGCCTCCCTCCACAGCAACACCCCCACCTAGGGACTGCACTCCGGGGCCACCATCGGTGCCACAGCCTCTGTGGTTCCCCAAGTCAACGTGGGCCTTTCAAAGCTGGCAGGAATCACCTTCCAGCCAGGATCCTGGCGGCTGGTCATCAGAGCTGAGCCCTGCACCTGCCTCGCTCTTGTCCATTTGTCACCAGGCTGTTTACCCAAGCAGGCCTGTGTTCTGGACCATTCCTCTGGAGGAGGTGGATCTCCTAAACTTAAAGCTGTGGCAGGGCAGGGCAAGAAGATTCCACAAGCTTGAGGGGAGTGTGACTTGGTCTGAAGTTACTCCCTTTAGAAGTAGTCGGCCTCAAACACTTTTGTTAGGGGCCACACTCTCCTCTGACCAGTCTTTGATCCTGCCGGCTGAGGGTGCCAGGTTCCAGGGAGTAGCAGAGCCGCCTGCCAGCCTGTCCTCTCCGTCACCTTCAGAAGGTAGCCTGTGGTGCAGTGTGCCCTGGAGGAGCTCCCTGGGTCCAGCCTCAGCCTCCCCCTGGGCTGACAGGAGAGGCGGGGAGGTGCAGCAGCTAGGGCCCCCTGACAAGAGGCTGGAGGGCTGGAACCCCAGGACCTTGGCTGCAATGAGGCCCTCTTGCCCCACACTGCCAACTGGCCACCAGGCTCTCAGACCCAAGGCCACCTTCCCCAGCCTCACTGAGGGGGAAGGGCCAGGGCCCATCGGCTCCTCTGGAGATGTGCAGCCAGCTGGGGCAGTGCTGACACTTCCCTCCCTCCTGTTGCCCCATCTCTGTTCCACCCTCTAACCCAGCACCGTCCTCCTCCCAGGAGCCTCCCTGGCACCTGATGCTTTAAGTATTAGGTTGGCCAAAAATTTCGTTTAATTTTTTCCGTGCAATGGGTCTAGCAGTGTTTGGTTGTCTTTAACTTCATTCAAAACAGTTTTGTTAGATTGTGTTGCGACAGCTGTTATATCAGTGTGCATTTTAAAAAATATTAAAATTGGTGAATTTTTGTGCAGCCATTTTAATATTGAAGATGGAAGAAGATAGGCAATATTTTTGGTGTATTATGCTTCATTATTTTAAAAAAGGTAAATGCAACTGAAACAAAAAGATTTGTGCAGTGTATGGAGAAGGTGCTGTGACTGATCAAACGTGTCAAAAGTGGTTTGTGAAGTTTCCTGGTATTTTGACACTTTGGCCAGATAATTCTTTGCTGTGGGGCTGTCTGATGCACTAGAAGATGTTTAGCAGCACCCCTGGCCTTTGCCCACTAGAAGCCAATAGTGGGAGATACAGACATACTCACAATATCAAAGTAAATAAAGTTATTGGTGAAAATGAAAAATGTGTCTTTTATTTTATGGAAAAAATGTAACAGACTTTTTGGCCAACCCAATACTAACCTCCTCCAGAGCCAGCCAAGCCTTCCTTGAGCCAGGACCCTTGTCCCTTCTTCCCCCCAGAGCTGCCTGGGCACAGGTTGTGGTTCTGGGCCATCCAAGGGGGCACGTGTCCTGCCTCCAGTTAGGCCATAGCCTTACCGAAGGGCTGGTGCCACCATGTGTGTTCGCCACTTGGCTGCTGGCCAGGCCTGTCCATACCTGGTTAACCCACCATCCACTGCCTCCTGGGGGACCGGATGGTGCTGCTCCCACAGGCCACTTAGTCGTCGTGACCCTCGGTACCCAAGAGCCCTGGAGGCGGTGATAGAGCATCTCAGCAGGTCCTGACCTCACCAAGCCCTTGCTTGCTGTCTGCCCACTGGGGAGATGGCTGGGTGATGGGACCAGATGGGACCAGACCACCATACGGAGCACACACAGGGCACATGGGGACACAGGGCACACACAGGCCTATGGGACATATGGGCCACACTAGCTACACCATTGCTCCAAACCAACATCCAGGACAGCCTTCCCAGGGGTGAGCGTCTGTGTGAACCCCATGTGGGGAGTGTGTGAGAGACCAGGACCAGCAGCCTTGCATGCAGTGAGGCATTGGGGACACCTCAGAGCGAAGCTGCCGCACCAGCAGCTCCTCCTACTTCGGATAAAACCTGAAGTGGAGCCAAATGTCTGAAATCCATGCAGTGGGGCTTCCCAGTGAGCATGGGGGCCTAGACTGCAGCTGGGGTGGGAGCCACACATCCAGGCCAGTCCCTGGTGTCCTTCCCCAGGTCCCACCACAAGGCCACAGGTCAGCCAGAGCCAGCGCTGCCACACAGCTACATCCCAGGTTTCCCGCTGCCCAGCACGTGGGGTCAGACACAGGGGTCTCCTGCTTTGAGGTGGGAGTCCCTGAAGCCAGGGCCGCCCCACAGGACAAACACAGGGACTGACAGTCCCTGGCAGCTTGTCTCCTCTGCACAAAGCCAAGCAGTCCTTATGTTCAGGACTGGAGTGTCCTCATGCCTATGCCCTGGAGTGTCGCCAGCTGGAGGTGACATGCCCTTTCTTTCATGGTAGGTGCTCCTAGAAAGTGCTTTTTGGTTCCCTGGTATCTGTGACTTTTCTTGCTAGGAAGGAACCAGGCCACTTAAAGGAAGGACACTTTCCTTGCTAGGAAGCACCCAGGCACTTAAAGGAAGGACACTCACAGCACAGGGCCCCCTGGCTCAGGCCGGGTTCCCTTCAGTAGCTCAGGGCTCCTGAGAACTGGCCACCAGCTCTGGGCACAGGGGGCACTTACAGGGCAGACTGGGCACAGCCACGCTGGCCCACTGCAGAGCAGGCTCCCGGCGGGCTTGGCTCAGCCTGGGTTTGTGGGACTCTAGGCTGGTCCTCTCAGGAAATACGAATGTGTCCAGGGGCCTGGCACCAGAAAATGAGTCTTCATTCCATCATCAGGGGCCAGCACACCTGCCGCACAGGGCCACGCCCTCCCCAACACCCTAGCAAGGTGCGTGGTGCCCAGGTGGAGACAGGGTGAAATCAATGCCCCATTTCCTGAATGAAGAAAGAAATTCCAGGAACTTGTCACAACAGATGAAAAGCCTGACATACCACAGCCATGGACTCCTCCTACTGGGGTACCTTGACAAGTCCTGAGGCATCTGTGGGGGACAGGATGCCTCTGCCCCCAGGGTCTGGTGTGAGGGGGGACACTTCCTCGTGACACAGCTGCTCATGGGGGAAGGGCCTTAAACTCACTCTCGAGAGACATCCTGGTGGATGGGGTCCGAGGCACTCTCCCACGATCAGCTCTGGGAACACATCTCTAACCGCTCACTCTTAATTAGTTAGAAGCGACAAGGGAAGGCTGGCCTCTGGGACACGGCCTGGGCTTCAGCCAAGGAAAAGGACAGGTGAGCCAGTGGGAACGAGGTGGGCTGGAACAAGTCCGTTTCCTCCGAGGGCAGCCTTCACAGCCATGGGTCTGGCCAGCGGCTGGGCTCCTGGCATCAAACCTCTGGAAGCACTAGAGAGGAAGGGGCAGGCACAAGAACAGGCCACTGGGAAGTGCAAACAGCACCAATGTGGGATTTTTCTAGAACCTCAGCACATTTGGTGTGTGGGTTTGTGGTGCTATGTGCTTAGTTCTTCTTGATCAGCTGGGCCCTCACAGCAAACAGGGGAGAGCAAGCGCTGCTATCAGGGTGAGTGTCCTGGGTGGCTGTAAAAAAACCCCACAGCTATGTGGCCTCCATAGTGCAAATGGATTCTCCTGTAGCTCAAGAGGCCAGAGGTGGGGGGTTCAGGTATCAGCAGGGCTGGTTCCTTCTGAGCGTCGCGAGGGAGCAGCCATTCTGCTCCTGGTCTCCGGCTCTGCCAGGCTCCGAGCAGCCGCCAGCATCCTCGGCTCACGGATGCATCACTGACCCATTGGCCTCACATGGCATTCTCCCTGTGCCTTCACCTCATCTGCCATCTGTGTGTCTGTGTCCAAATTTCCCCTTTTATCAGAACACAAGTCATCAGACGGGGCCACCCTAGGACCTCCCTTTGACCTACAAAGACCCTATATCCAAGTAAGACCACAAGCACAGGTGTTGGGGTTGGGACTGCAACATTCAACATCCTTACGGGGCAAGGGCTTCAACCCCTAACGCTGCCTGTCAGTTC